CTTCTTTTCCCTTTCTTCTCCCTTCCCTTCTCTCTCCTCTTCCTTCTTCCCCTTCCTCTTCTCCTTCCCCCTTCCCTTCTCTTTTCCTCTCTCCTTTCCTTCCTCTTTTTCCTCCCTCCCTTTCCCTCTCCTTCTCCTTCCCCTCCCCCTCCTTCTCCTCCCTCCTTCCTTCCCTTCCTTTCCTTCTTCTCTTCCCGTCCTTCCCCCCCCCCCCAACCATCATAGCAGTAAGAGCACCTAGGGCTTCGGAAAGCTTCTGTTCTAGCATCTCAAAGCTCCCTTCTTGAGCAGTAATGGCACGATCATCAGCATAGATGAAACTTTCTGTCCCTTCTGGCAGTGGCTTATCCCCATGCTAAATCTATGAGACGCAAAAAATTAAGAATCCCTCCCTGCAAGCAGTATCTCAAGCAAATATTGACAATTTATTCACACTCTCATTACTTGCAGCAATAGCCGATGTAGCGAAGCAACCAAGTTGGGGGGGGGGGGGTGTTGAATGCTCTCATTAAGGAGGCCAGACTTGGTGGAGGTGGTTGACAGGGGCGGAGCTGCAGGCTATTGAAGGCTGCTCTGCCCCTGCTGTGCTCTTTGCTTCAGCGTGAGCTAAGAGGCAGGTTTCAACTCCCCCCCCCAAATTTTCAAAACTCCCAAAATTTTCAACCCCCCCCGAAATTTTCAACCCCCCCCAAATTTTCAACCCCCCCCCCGAAATTTTCAACCCTCCCCAAAATTTTTTTCTGGCTACGGCCCTGGTATGGCTGGTCGCTTTGGGGCTCCATGTTTCTGAAGCTTGATCTACACTGCCCTGTAATTTAGATTAAAGCAGTGTAGAGAGTATCCTATCCTACTACATCTGTGCGTGGTAACTGTACAGTGACCCATAGGAAGGCACTCCAAAGGGTTACCACTTCTGCACAGAGAATCATTGATTGCCCTCTCTTCTCCTTGGAAGAACTTTATGGACCCTGCTGTCTTAAGAAAGCTCAGAGCATTCTTGTGGATCCATCTCACTCAGCATATTCTTTTTTAAAATTATTGCCATCTGGCAGATGATACCAAATGACAAAGGCAAGGACAAACAGACTGAGAGGCAGCTTTTATCCAAGAGCTGTAACTATATGTAACTCCATGGCTTCGCATTGATGTGGCATTGAGGGCTGTGTGGTAGTGGGGTGGGGGGGTGGGGGGGTGGAGGGATGGGTATGTTGTTTTGCGATGTGTGCATCTATAATCTGGGATAAGATCCTGGGATAAAGGGCAGTGTGGAAGGGCCCATTAATAGAAGTCTTCTTCAGAATTATTGAGGAAGCCCTTTTTTCTCCTGATGGTTCTTACAGGACCTCTAGTTTCCTGCAGCAGTGCCATTTGTATCTTCTCCTTCAGGGCTTTCTCTGGTGAGCAGACTCCACCAGGAGTGTTTTGAATGCGACTTTCCTGCTTCTTGGCAGGGGGTTGGACTGTATGGCCCACGAGGTCTCTTCCCACTATGGGAAACGTCCTTGCAGACGGCCAATTCTCTCACACCAGAAGTGACTTGCAGTTTCTCAAGTCAATCTGACACGGAAAAATTGATTCTATTCTATAATGTATGGGCCCTTCGTTATCAGTTGCTGTTCATGGTTGCTTACTTGGGATTTTTCTTTCAGCATTTGTTTGGTGCACTGCTTTACGATTAATGGGCTTCTTTTTAAGAGGTTTGCAGGGGGGAAAGGCAACGGGAAAGCACCTCTGAGTATTCCTTGCCTAAGAAAACACAGTACATGATTTGAAAACATTCATCAATGCCCCCTCCCCCAATCCTTGTTATCAAACGGTCTGTCAGTGGGTGAGGACTTTTCAGAAAAACAGCAAGAGTTTCTCATACAACTCTTCCCAGACATCATGCTATTTACTTTAGTAGATTAAAATGGCAGAATAAACAAAATACGTACTAAGACTAGGAGTGGACAACTGAAAATGTTCAAAATGACATTGAGTTGCAAGCCCTATCGCCCCTCATCATTTGCTTTGATTATATTATGAGTTGGAATGTAACAACAAATACGGGGGGGGGGGGGGGCTTCATTTTAGACAACAGGAGAAAAAAAAATCACATGTAGGTTATTGATTCCTCTTGTCATGGTTGACTAGATATATTTTTCTCCATCTTTGCTATTTAAGTAGCTGGACATTGGCTGCATAACTATAGAAGTGTGATCAAAACTGACTGGCCTAAGGCACTCAATAACAAAACTTATATACTGCACGTGTAAATAAAAACACCAAAAAGTTATTAATACATTTGGAAAAAATAAATTGTTTATTCTGTATGTGTCTTTTCTCTACAGGTGAATTGTGGATTCAGGCTTCAAGGAAAAATATCTGTTTTGAGGATAGTGGAAATTATAATCCAACACCTAGGAACACAAATTAGGGGAAAGGCTTTTGAATGTTCACTGTGCCACATTTGCTACAAGGCTGTAGAAACACAGTTAAAAATGTCTGGCAAAAGCCATAATAAAGTAGAGGGTAAGCAGTACTCTCCTGTGAAATCTAATGCAAAAAAAAAGGGAACCATGACTACAACAGTCGATGTGGATAATGGTGAGTTGTGATAAAACAGACAAACCTAATCTCAAGAAAAGCTGTGAATTTATCACTAGCCTAAATTGGCAGCAAAGGCCTATTAATCTACATCCAAAAAGGAAAGCTATCCCCTTTTGTTGATTTTCTGTATACTTGTCCCATTTTCATTCCTGATAAACAGATCTCCATGTTATTTATTAGTTCTCATACCTGTGTGATCACAGAGGAGTGTAAGACTAATATGTGAGTACACCATGTATATGTTTAGCTCTTATAAAATGATGAAGGAAGCACAGCTTTTCTTGAAACCTTTATACCTTTAACACACACACACACACAATATAGTCTTGAGAACAAATGTCTAGGTCCTTTGACACCAAAGGTCCTTTCTTATTTAAGGATATGATGTAAGCAAACAGAAAGCTCTATAATAAGGACTTTTAAATTGACTTCTCATCCTGGAATACTACTGAGTTTTACTAACTGATTGCAAGACAATATGAATTCTGGGATTTCCAGTTTGGTGAAACAAAAAGATAACTGATTTGGAATTCATAATGTCCTTCCCTAAACTACAAAACCCAGGATTTCATAGGATGGTTCTGTGGCTGTTAAAGTAGAATTATAAGACTAAAATGTAGACTGAATGTTTTATTAATTACTTTGTTTAAACATATATGTTTATTACATCACTGCAGATAATTTCCTAACTACAGAATATGCTAGGGTTGGTGGTCTTGGTTGAGGGAACCAAAATCATTTGTATGGCTTTCCACAAGCAAAATTGTCTCTGCCACTCTTTTGATATGACTGCAGACATGGCTATGAGCTAAAGCAGGGGTCCTCAAACTTTTTAAACAGAGGGCCAGGCCACAGTCCCTCAAACAGTTGGAGGGCCGGAATTATAATTTGAAAAAAGCATGAACGAATTCCTATGCACACTGCACATATCTTATTGGTAGTGCACAAAAACCCTTAAAAACAACCCAATAATTAAAATGAAGAACAATTTTAACAAATATACACTTATTAGTATTCCAATGGAAGTTTTCTGCTGCCCTGGAGACCAGGATGCAATGGAGCAATAGCTTCCAACTACAGGAAAGGAGATTCCACCTGAACATTAGGAAAAACTTCCTAACTATAAGAGCTGTTCAGCAGTGGAACTCTCTGCCCCAAAGTGTGGTGGAGGCTTCTCCTATGGAGGCTTTTAACCAGGGGCTGGAGAGCAATCTGTTGGGGGTGCTTGGAATGTGATGTTTTTGCTTCTTGGAAGAAAGGGATTGGACTGGATGGCCCACAAGGGCTCTTCCAACTCTAAGATTCTAGGATTGGGGTGATGAAGTGTGGGCCTGCTATTGGCTGATGAGAAAGGATTGTTGTGGTTGTTGTTGTTGTTGTTGTTGTTGTGTGCTTTTAAATTGTTTCAGATAGGTTGACCCTGAGCGAGGGCCGGGAAAATGACCTTGGAGGGCCATATCCGGCCCTCGGGCCTTAGTTTGAGGACCCCTGAGCTAAAGGTTAAGATTTTAATAAGCTCTAAATGGTTGTAACAACAATAGAGACGTGGTATGAACAGAGAATAAGCTGAGGAAGCTGTTGCCTTGGCACCTGGTTGTCTTCTTTCAAGAAGCACCTGGGTGGTCATTCTTTGAAAGGAAGTGTTAATGGATAGCTAAACTGATAGGAAGAAGTCTAAGGGAGGGACAAAAGCTAACAGATATGCCTGAAGAAGAATTTCTCTTCCTGAAGTTCCCCTCATTCACTGATGTTCTGTCTTGAATTAATAAATAAGAATGGTAGCACACCACCTTAAGTATAACAACACTCTTTCTTTTAATACATTTCAGGATATGATTGGGAAGACATCATGTTCTTCAAGAATGAAAGAAGAGAATTGATCATATATGTGATTTGTTTTTGTGTACTGATCTACCTCATTATGCTGTTTATTTATATGTTGATAGCAGCTACTATTTCACCTGCAAGTAAGTGAACCAAATGTATTGGTTAAATCATATTGTACAATCTATCAGTTTATTTTTTAAGGTTTTTGAAGATTCTCAACAGATTTGTAAGCACTCTAGAATGTTTTTTCTCAGTTCCATCAAATTTATGCTCTGCTTAATCTTTTTGCCTCTAAAGTTCCAACAGCTACAATGTAATGAATTCTGTTAACACTCTAATTTCTGAAATCCTTTTTATTGCCAGTGAGATCAGAAGAAAGATATCCAAATTTTCTCCCTGCTGTCCTTGCTGATCCCTGTCCAGATGGCTGGATCGGGTATAGAAAAAGATGCTACTATTTTTCTCTGACTGAAGGAAACTGGACTGTTGGCAGCAGGCACTGTTCTTCTCACAATGCTTCCTTGGCTGTGATTGATTCCCAAGAAGAGAAGGTAGGTATAAAAAATGGAGATATGTTAATTGCAAAGCTTGCTGAGATAATTTGATGCTATTAGCATTCTAATTGCATCATTTTGTAGAAATTATTGTATCAATGGATGTTATTGTGTGTTTTTGGACTAAACTGTAATAACCAGCTATGAGTTCTTTTTCAAGAATGCAAACCAGTATAAATATGATGTGACATCAAACAGAACAAATAAATAAAACAAAAGCAGTATATTCTAAGATCCAGTGAATATAACAACTTTATTTTCACATGCTAAATTAAGAGATTGGAATACCTTTTCACTGCACAGGATTTCTTTAAAGCATTTCTAGAACTTATGAGGGGTTTGGGGGTAGGGAGTTCAGCGGGGCACAAGCTTCACATATTCACACTGGATGTGTCCAGTCAGAGCTATGGTTCTTTCAAGGTCTTGTCAAACAGTTTTAATTTTGCTTTGTGTAGTTCTCATATAAGAGAACAAACAATTTAGAGTTGGTAAGCTGTGTTTACTTCCTTCCTTTGTTAAGGGTTTTCTCTTTCGCTACAAAAGCCCTCCTGATCACTGGATTGGTCTCCAGAAGGATTTGGGTCAGCCCTGGAGATGGGTCAATGGCAGAATTTTCACAGGAGAGTGAGTCCTTTTTCTATTCTGTATGATGCAACAAATGTACAAATAGGGATTGATGGGCTGAAAACCAGAGAGGCTTGAGTGCCTTCAACACCTGTGCAAAAGAGGATTTCTGCAGGTATTGCTTAATGACAACTAACACGTGAAATTCACTCTTCTACATACCGATTCAAGGTAAAGAAGCCTTCTCCAGTTTTCAACCAGGCAATCTTAGATCAAATGCTCAGAAATTCTAAACAGAACATTGTTCAGTCCTCAATATTGGTTGTGTTTAGTGAACTCAGTCCTACCAATGAGGTAAATGAAAATTGAACTTTACTATAGAACATAATAATTAAAAAGGGACATAATGGAGCAATAGTGGGATATATGGAAGGATGAGATTAAACAGAAGTACATTGACAAGGCCATTCAGACAGCATACAATTCAAACTGAGAACAACTCCAGAGAGGGAGATCTGCCTGGGTCAACAGACCAAAATGTCATACAGGATAAGAGTATATAGATAATAATAATAATAATAATAATAATAATAATAATAATAATAATAATAATAATAATAATAATAGACACTTTATTTGTACCCCGCTACCATCTCCCCAAGAGACTCGGTGCAGCTTACATGAGGCTGAGCCCAACACAACAATACAAGCAATAATAACGACAATACAGCAGTTATAATAAGAACATAGACAATAAAACACATTATCAATAAAACAACACACAATTAAAACTGTGGGATAAAAATATATATAAAGAGCACATTTCATATGTGACTGTAACAGGCAGAGCTGCTTTGTTAGGTGAGAACACTCCCCAAGTAGAACTGGTGGATCCCATAGTTCATATGGAGTAATGCAACAGTCTTAAGCAATGAAATCACATTTTCTATGCGGATGCCTAGAAATCACATGACAGGTGTCATGACTCAGAAGCCTTAAAAGAGCCAAACACAAGGAAAAGGTCCAAACAAAGTTTATTAAACAACAAAAAATAGCTTAGAGACACTTAACTCAGTGCCACTAGCAATAACTGAAAGTCTGTAGCAAACTGCTAAGCAAAAAACGCAATTTAGAAGATAATCCGGATTATACCGGAATATAATCTGGGATAACAAAAAGTATCAGCAAACTGCTTCAAAAATACAGAGTTCAATAAACACAAAGAAACAAGGTGGAAGCAAGCAAAATCGTTGTCCAGAAATAGTCCCAGATCAAGGCATGTCCAGAAGAAGAAGTTGAAGTCCAAAACGCGATGTCGTCGTCCCAAAAATAATCCGGAGTCAAAGGGGAAGTAGAATTCAGCACTTAAGAGATTCCAGTCAGTAGAAGCATGGAAACATGGAGATCTGCAGTCCAAGGACCCAAACTCAAGAGTAAGGCAGCAACAAAGTCCCAAACACGATACAACACTTTGCCTTCTGGAAAGTCCCATTAGTTTGATACCTGCTTATATCCTATAACTCATTATCAGATTATGAGCTCCCCTCCACCCTTTCTTCATCACTCTCAGCTGCCCCAGCTTCCACAGCTGAGCGCCACCGCCCATCTTTCCAACTTTTCCACCTTCTATCAAGACTTAGATAACCCCATGTATTACCAACTTGCCAGTCCCCAGAGAAACCCTCAAACTCCTCACTGGATGTTGGCTGTGTACATATATCTTGGATTTCCTGCACACGGGTCCAATCCAGCCCATCCTCCTCTTTGCCATCACTCCCAGTCCCATCACTTCCCGTGAACCCCATAAAGTCCTCCTCCTCAGTTGGAGCATTAAGTATTTCACGGATACGTTTCCTTTCCCGTTCCTCATCCGACTCTTGCTCCCGAGTAGCCTGCTTCAAGCCTCTGCCACCATCTCCCTCCTCCTCCATTTCAGAATCTGAGAAGCCTTCGAACGAGTCAGAATCTGTAGGTGTCATGAATATCTCCCTAATTCGCTTCCTCTGCTGCTCCTCCTCCAGCACTTGAGCAGCCCTCTTCCCTCTTCTACTACTAGTTGTAGCTTGACCAGCACACTCTACTGCAACAACAGGAGTAGGATTACTTCAACCTAAGGTCGAATAAATTGATTATTTTAATGAATTATAATCCTTATAATTCTCCTCTGAGTCATGGCAAATGATGTCTGTGTCTTTTCAGCCTCAGGTGATAAGATGGCCCTGGACCCGGCGAACCTCAACAACTATTGCCTATTTCCAGTCTCCCCTTCCTGGGCAAGGTTCTAGAGCAGGTGGTGGCCACCCAACTACAGGGATTCTTGAATTAAACTGATTAGCTTCACAGTCTGGTTTTAGGCCCAGTCATGTAACTGAGACAGCTTTGGTTTCCTTGGTGGATGACCTCCACAGACAACTGGACAGGGGGAGTGTATCTCTGTTAGTTCTCTTGGACCTCTCAGCGACTTTTGATACCATTAACCATGGAATCCTTCTGGGAGGGGACTTGGGGCATTGCTTTGCAGTGGTTCCACTCATTCCTGGAGGACCGGACCTAGATGGTGGTTCTGGGGGATGCCTGCTCGGACCCCTGGCCATTGGCTTGTGGTGTCCTGCAAGGCTCCATTTTATCCCCCATGCTCTTCAATACCTACCTAAATCCACTGGGTGAGGTCATCTCAGTCCAAAGAAGCTCCTGAGTCCTGGACCAGTGCCTGGCAGCTGTGATGGGCTGGATGAGGGCTAACAAACTGAAACCTAATCCTAACAAGACAGTCTTCATGGTCAGTTGTGAGGCTGATTGGGGTATAGAGTGGCTATCTGTGCTTGATGGGGTAACACTCCTCTTGAGGACACAGGTTTGCAGTTTGGGGTTCCTCCTGGACTTAGGGCTGACAGTTGAGGCTCAGGCATCAGCAGTGGCCAGGAAGGTCTATGCACTATGAAAGCTTGTGCACAAACTGTGACCAAACTTCAGAAAGTCAGATTTGGCCATGGTGGTCCATGCCTTAGTTACATCTCATATGGATTACCACAATGCACTCTGTGTAGGGCTGCCTCTGAAGATGGTTCCAAAGCTTCAATTAGTTACAAAGGTAGGCAGCCAGGCTGCTGATGGGCGTGGGTTATAGAAATCATGCGGCCCCCCTCTTGAAGCAGCTTCATTGATTGTCTATTTGCTTCCATACCCAATTCAAAGTGCAGGTTATTACCTATAAAGCTCTACATGGTTCAGGTCCTGCCTATTTATGCGACCACATCTCCCCTTACAAACCTATTCAGATCTTATGATTGGCTGGGGAGGCCCTCCTCTCAGTCCCACCTCCTTCGTAATTGAGGCTGGCAGGTACGAGAGAGAATTCTCAGTGGTGGTCCCCTGACTCTGCAATGCCCTTCCATGAGAGATTAAACAGGGATCCACCCTCGCAGCATTTAGGAGGGACTTGAAGACTTGGTTATTTAAATAGGCTTTTGACAGTGATTACTCAATCTCTAAGATATGGATTTACAGTAGCAAGCCTTCTTTTAGCTCATAAGAATGACTGTGTTTTTAATCCAATATTCATAATTTTACTGTTAATTTTTGTTACTTGATTGTGTTGTATTTTGTGTTTTATATCATTTGGATGTGTTATTAATTGTTTATTCCACTTTATGTATTTTATTGCATTGCACTTATTGTATTATTTATGTTGTAAATGTCCCGAGTCCCCTGGGGAGAGGGAGTGGGACATAAATAAACTTGATTATTATTATTAAACTTTATTTACTCTTTCCGTCTTGCTGTTCCAAAAGGAGTCATTGGTCTTTTCTGTCTGATTGCATGCTAGGTGTAATTCCTTTGCTTAACAGTTTTGTTACTCTTCAGGCTCTTCAAGCTTCGTGAGGAAGAGGGAAGAAGATGTGCATATTTGAACCATAATGCCGTTGGTAGTTACAGCTGCACAAGAGAGGAACCCTGGATCTGTAGCAAAGAGATGGCTAAAGACATTGGCTGGATTTCAGCACCCAAGCCCTGATCCCTGCTCTGCTTTGTCAAAAGGTACTTGACTGCTTTGTTTTCAGCCTCTTGTCCATTTTTAGTAATGATGAATTTTATTAAAAATGGCAAAAAAGAGAAAAGTATTAGAAAAACACAAGAACAAGCTTTAGAATATATGACAGAAGAGTGTTATCTTCTACTATCTTTATTTGACTTTTAATCTGATGAACATGAAAGAATATGAACAATAAGAAAACATGTAAATGATTCATAAGAGATGGACAAAAATGAAATTGTCTTGAGATTATTGAAACTTGAGACAAAGATAAATCAACCTACACCTGAATCAAAGAAAAAACCAAGGCTCTAGCAAGGAAACTATGCAAGTCTTGGGAGAAATTTACCAAGGAAAGCAATAGAGAACAAAGAAATTGGTGGAAATAACAAAAGGACTGGACTTGGAACCTGAAATGAAATAAGGATCTTCATGAGCAACCTGTGATACAAAATCTAATAAATACAACAGAGATGTCAATGAACCAAGGGAACATATACAAACTTACTTCTGGACTGTGGAGACATGAAAAAAACCCTGCAATAAACCACACAAGAAAAGATGTTCAAGCCTTCAAGCTTTATTGAAACAGATAGACAAAGATTTTATGCAGGAACAATATCTCTTTATTGTCTTTATTTCAGTATTGTCAGTTTTTTGTTTTGTTGCATTACTGGAAAATGTAATGAAGATTATTCTAAAAAAATAAATGTTCAAATTCTTGTTTTGATTATTGATTCACTTGGAGGAGATTTAAAACCAATAGGAGTAAGGAAGTCATGTTTTTCCTTTTCTAAGCCATCAGGAATCTGGAAACATCTTTTCTCTTCAGCCCAAACAGCCATTTACTCTTTTGTTCTCCACCCCATCTTCCATTCATTGCAAGAGCTATTCTAGTAAGTAGAAAAAAAAAACCCCAAGCATCCCTAATAAAGATAGCTATGAATAAAAGTGAATATCTATCTATAGTATCTATGCGGTTATGTACATGGAAAACAATTTAGAGAGCCTAGTGACAATGGAGCTGGACAAAACTTGGCACACATACCCAACATGAAAAACTATAAATACTATAGTTTGTAGGTAATGACAGATGATGGTACTTGTAATTTACCCAAGCCACCAGATGTAGAAACATCCTCTATCCTCAGCCCAAACTCTTCCTTTCCACACCTCCTTCTATTTATTGCCAGATATATTCTAGAAAGCAGCAAAAAACCCACCCCTCCCAATGATATCTCTCTGTGTGTATGTGTGTCAATATTTATATATGTATCTATGCATTTATGTACGTGGAAAACAATTCCAGAGAGCACCGAGACCCTAAACAATGGTAGATCTGGATCAAAGTTGGCACATAGACCCATTATAACCAATTTTAAATAATGCTGCAGTTTTGGGGGCAATGACAGAGGATGATGGGAGTTGTAGTTTACCCACCTCCTTATCCATTTTCTAATGGGACCATTCACAACACCCAAAATCAAACAATGTCTACTTTTAGTAATTATCAGTACAGAATCCCCAGAAGCAGCCCTAAGTAATTTTCAAAGGTAAGCAAACAGTATTTTGCCCCCCCCCACCCAATCACTGATATATATTTTCTGTTCATCGTGGGAGTTCTGTGTGCCATATTTTGTTCAATTCCATCATTGGTGGAGTTCAGAATGCTCTTTGATTGTAGGTGAACTATACATCCCAGTAACTACACTTGCCGCACTTGCTCCCTTGCCTGGCCCGCTTTGGGTCCGGAGGTGTGCCTAAAGACCCCGGCGTGTGCACCAAAAGTCACCTCTTCTCCTGACTTGCTTCTCAGACATTGGGACCAAGAGAGAGAGAGAGAGACAGAGGTGGAGATGCCCACCTTTCCTGAAGGTAGGTACAAAAACAAAGGAGAGAGCGGAGGTGGAAGATACCTCCAGCCGGAGGGGCTCTCTCTCTCTCTGTCTCTCTTGGTCCCAATGGCTGAAGAGAAAGTCAGGAGAAAAGGCGACTTTTGGTGCGCACGCTGGGGTCTTCAGACACGCCTCTGGACCTGAAGTGGGCCAGACATGGCGGCTCCGCCCCTTGGCCCACCCGCAGATTGGGGAGAGGAGAGGAGGCAGGTGGAGCACCGGGGGATCGGGAAAGGGAGCCGGTCATGGGGAAGGGATCGAACGCGGAGAACAATTGAGCGCCGGCTCTGCTTGCGCACCCGGTGGTTGGGTGGAGCAGGAATGAGAGGGGCTAGGCGAGGCTCAAGGGCCTGGCACCTTTGGGAAGAGGCTCGCCCGGCAGCGAGGCAAAACAGCCAAGGCTTCCCCCGGACTACTAGGGCTGTTGTGAGCTGAGGGGGCGTCCTCAAGTGGCAGTCAAGGGGCATTTACAGAGGGGCCTCTGTGCCCCTGGCAAAAAAAAGTGTTCTGCGACCACTTACTTCGCGTAATGGACGAGCCGCCCCTGAGAATCCCTAACCGAGACACTGCTGGGTACCTAAGCTTGTAGACAAACACACACACAAATCTGCGTTAGGGATTCTGCAATGATAATTATTGGAAGTAGTCATCATATGTGAGAGCTGGACCTTAGGGAAGGCCGAGCGAAGGAAGATGGATGCTTTTGAGCTGTGGTGTTGGAGGAAAGTGCTGAGAGTGCCTTGGACTGCGAGAAGATCCAACCAGTCCATCCTCCAGGAAATAAAGCCCGACTGCTCACTGGAGGGAAAGATACTAGAGACAAAGTTGAAGTACTTTGGCCACATCATGAGGAGACAGGAAAGCCTAGAGAAGACAATTATGCTGGGGAAAGTGGAAGGCAAAAGGAAGAGGGGCCGACCAAGGGCAAGATGGATGGATGGCATCCTTGAAGTGACTGGACTGACCTTGAGGGAGCTGGGGGTGGTAACGGCCGACAGGGAGCTCTGGCGTGGGCTGGTCCATGAGGTCACGAAGAGTCGGAGACAACTGAACGAGTGAACAACAGTCATTATTTGATTTTGGATGTTATGAATGTTTGCGTATATATATATACACACTCACACACATACACACACACACACACACACACATGCAAAGAGAGGGAGAGTTCCTGAGGTAATTTGCTGTTCCCAGAAACATGCGGATTCGATCTGGAGCACAAAGACTTTCATTTTCTATCATGCTTGTTTGCTTAAGTGATTACAACGGCTCCCCCCCCCCCCAAAAAAAAAAAAAGAAATATTTTTGGTTTGTGACAGTCTGTTTTTAGAGATAAGCACAGGTGACAAGCTTTTTCCCTGTTGAATGAGGAAGACAAGGCAGTTACAGAGAAACTCTCTGAAACATTTATCTTGAACCTATCATACAGCACATCAATTACATACACATGAGAGTAATGCAACACACGAGAGTAATGCAAAGTGGAAGCTTAAAATTTGCAGAAGTACAAAAATCCAGGGAGAAAATAAAAACAAAACACAACCTCCATTGGAGTACCAATGTCAACTGAGTGCTGACCTGTTTCTTGCTTGAATTCCCTCAAATGCAATAAAGCATTTGGGGAGAAATAAAATGACAGCCTTTCACTTTATATTGGAACAAAAACGTGGATTGACTCTCTGTCATATAAATTCACCACTGGGTTGTTGTTTTCCAGGCTGTATGGCCATGTTCCTGAGGGGAACTTCCAATGGTATTACACCCTGGGACTGCAGATGTCTGACTGGTTTATGGAGTGGGATGAATCTGGAACAGTGTATGAATGTAGTATGCCAACAAATGTGAGGACCTCTCACTGCTATGGCACCAACAGCCCTAATGAATTTTTAACCGAGTAGTATAATAGCACATCATTTTAGTGGAATCTGTTTTTTTTTTCCTTTAAGGGTTTTCATTGCATATAACAGCCACTATCACAAAGAGAGAAAAAAATACTATTTTACATGTTCTCTTGAATAGTGATATAGTGCTTTTTTATAATTCACATAATGTTCTTTTTTATAGTGTTATGTTTATAGTTACGTCAGTTTGCCTTTCCAAAACTATTACACAAATGCTACCTTGCAACCCCCCACCTCAACTTTCAAATAAATATGGTCATAGTGTAGTTGTTCTGTCATGTGCTGGGCCTGTAACAACTGTCTTTTCTGTAGGACGTATACTTTGGCCCAGCGGGAAGCCGAGGTGCCTCAAAGAAAGGTTCTCAGGGATTTTCCTGAAGTGATGGTCTTTAGAGTCTTTAATGATATAACAAAGTCTTTATTATGGAACAAATAACAAATCTTCAAACAACACTTCAATGCTTTCTTATTCTAGTCTTTAAGAGACTGGCAACTGACTTGGATTAACTGTACTTTCTCTGCATGAGGAAAACCCTTTATAACCTCTCCCAAGCTGTCTATCATCTGGGCCTCGTTGATGTGGGTCTTACTACCGATTCCAAATGTATCTGGACATTGAGTAAACCTACCAGCCAAGGCCTGTAGATATTTCAACTGAGGTTCACAGATCTGTAATGCTGTTCTCCCTCCGAGAGATCTTTGGAAACTTCAGAGCTGTTTCCCTCTGATGCTGTGAGGCTGAGAGTCTGAGAGCTCTCTGCCAGAGCTTTGGGACCCTTTTCCTTCTGATTCTATTGGAATTTCTGTAATCCTGGATGGTCTGTTTTTATTTCCCCGGATGATCTTGAGCAATGAAGCTTTTTCTACGGGACGAGCTGGTCTACGTCCTATAGCCTAGCTTCCTTGTGTGAGACTGCCCAAAATGGTTCCTTTCCCTCCCAGAGCCCTGAACACGGGGTGGAACCAAAGCTTAATGATGATAGACAGATGGCCTATCCTATGACTGCAAACTTTAACAGGAGGAAAATAAAGTTGGAGCTTCTGGTACAGCCGTACCAGCACAGTAGTCCATGGGCCACATGCATGCCCTGGAATATTTTTTTTCGTCTCCTAAATGTAATTTTTTAAAACATTTCCCCATGCCCCCAAAACATGCTTTGCCTCCAAAGTCCCCAAGCAGTCTTTT